ATTAGGAATATTCTTTATTAATTATTTGAACATGATCATGTTTAGTTTCATATTTTTGCATTAGTATAAAGTTTGTTTTAAAGTTTGTTATGTGAGACTCTTTACTCTATGATGGAGGTTTCAACTCAACTATTTATGTATGAATTTGAAGAATTTTATATTTGTGGTATGAAGTTTTGAATTGTCTACGTATGCAGGATAAAGGGTGTCTAATATATTAAGAGTTGAGAGTGTGTTTGTTTTGACAGTTAAAAAACCATTATTTGTTTCTTTTTATCAATAATATAATAATATAAAGACTATTATTCGGTAATATATATATATATATATATGTATTATGCTTCTTTTATATACACTAACGTAGAAAAGACACTTTATATTTCTGTGAATTATTTTTATAAATAATAAATAATAAATAATAAAAATTATACAAGTTGTTATGGAGTAAAATTCACAAAAAAGAATAAAAAATTTATAATTTGTAAAAGAGTAGTTACAAGGGTAAACTTGGACAAAAATTATGTAATCAAAAAGCTCATTCCCCTTTATTTTTTTACTAGTGGAGTCAAGACATTTTGTGTCTCTATTTATTTTTGGTATATAAAAAAAATAAAATTTGAGAGCAATTGCACATCAACAATGTGAAAGAAGATGAAGGTTTTATGGTGAGATGGAAAGTAAGAGTGAGAAGAGAGAGGAAAAAAAAAGAGACAATTGTATGAGTAGTGGGAACTTTTCATTTGGAATAGAAATGTAACTTTGGCAGTTACTTAAGTAGGTTAAAAGACTAAAACATAGAAACAAAAATTTAGATAAAATAAATAAGTTTATTTTTTATGAAAGTTTTGAAGGACAAAATAGTCTAACTAAAAATAGAGACCAAAAACAGTTAAGGGAGAAGGTATCCCTTTTATCTATCGTTTAGATATATACATATATCCAATAATAGCATACTTCATTATAAGATATGAAAGGATAAAAATAATAGCATTTAAATTATGGATAAAAATAAGTATTGTTTAAGGTTAAAGCTTAATTAGAAACGTCTCTCCTTTGAGATCATTATTATTGTTGTTTTTATGACTATTACCATCATCAATCACCATTGTCATAATTATAACCACTATAATCACCATCATGATCAATGTCATGGTTGCCACATGATAGTAGTAACGATAGTAGTGGCGACGATAACGATGATAGTGATAGTGGTGTTACCTCTGTTGCTAATACTATCATCATCATTGTTGTTGCTACCATCATTGTCGCATCATTGTCATTGTCATTGTTACCACCTAATACTAATATATCTATGTTATAAAGTTTTGAATTATATCTACGTATGCGAGATAAAGGGTGTCTAATATATTAAGAGTTAAGAGCCTTTATTTGTTTCTTTTTATCAATAATATAATAATATAAAAGCTACTATGTATTCTTATATATATATATATATAATGCTTCTTTTATATATATTAATGTAGAAAAGACACTTCATATTTATGTAAATTATTTTTATAATAAATAATAAAAATTATATAAGTGATTATGGAGTAAAATTTATAGAAAAGAATAAAAAATTTATAATTTGTAAAAGAGTAGTTATAAGGGTAAAATTGGACAAAAAATTATGTAATTAAAAAGCTCATTCCTCTTTATTCTTTTATTAGTGGAGTTGAGACACTTCGTATATCTATTTATTTTTGGCAAAAAAAAAAAAGAATTTGAGAGCAATTGCATATGAACAATGTGAAAGAAAATGAAGGTCTTATGATTAGATGGAAAGCAAGAGATGAGAAAAGAGAGGAAAAAGAGACAATTGTATGAGTAGTGGGAAATTTTCATTTGTAATAGAAATGTAATTGCGACAAAGAATTCATTTATTTGAAGAATTTCAATTTTTTTGAGGTGAAATGCTTTGTTTGGATGATGAATTTACAAAGAATTTAAAATCCAAAACATTTGTGAAATTCCTTAAAATAGTAGAATTTCAAATTCTCCAAAAAATGGGAGAATTTGAAATTCCTTATATTTATTTTTCTTATTTCACCTATATATTTTATCTTATCTCTTCATTCTTTTAATTATTGGATATTCAAAAATACTTTTAAAATTATTAAATATTATCTTATATTAATTTTTAAAATTATTAAATATTATCTAATATTAATTTTTAAAATTATTAAATTTTAAAAATAAATTAATATTTATTTTTATAAAATTTAATTTAAAAATCTCAACATATAAATATATTTTTAAAATCAATTTTACTATGATGGAATCAAATTATCATATTCAACCTAACAATTTAAAATTTAAGAAATTTGAATTGACACATCCAAACAAAATATTTTAAGAATGATAGAAATTGAAATCGAAGTAATTCAAATACCAAAAATTTAAAATTCCTTAAATTTGTAAAATTCTTCATCCAAATACACTATAAAAATAGTTAGGAGAAAAGGTATCCCCTTTATCTATCATTATAAATATATACATATAACCAATGAGAGTGTACTATGGGTGTTTGTAATGCGGTTGGGTTCATTTTAAGCATAGAGTCACTTGAACCAAACAATAAAATTAAGTGCGATAAAGTTTGGTTTGATTCGTTTATGCTTTTATAAATTTTTTATTTAAAAATCATATAAAAATATATAATATCATATTATTTGTTTAAGACTTGTACATTGAAATTAAAATTAAAAGTATACAAATATTGAAAAAATTTTATCACTTAATGTATTCGACATTAATTCTTATCTTATTATTTTAGTCTATTTTTTTTAAAAAAAATCTCATTATTTTAGTTAAAACATTTTTTTAATACAATATTTGTTATTGTATTAAATATTTTCCTCATATATAGTCTTTCAATTAAAATAAAATTATTTTTAAATGTTATAAATGATTCATAATTTTTCATTTTAAAATTCAGTTTAATAACTTATAATTTTATAAAATACATTTTAATCAAATATATTATAATTTACATTTGGGGAAAAATACCTTTTAATAACTTACAATTTAATAGCTTTTAGTTTTATATAACACCTTTCATGTCATGTATAAATGTCAAATATTTATTCTATGCATTTTTGGAAAAAAGAAAACATATTTATACATAAGTGTAATTCAGTTTGGTTTGGGACAATTTCGCATTCCCGAACCACAAACCAAAATGAACCATGTGGTTTAGGAAAACTAAAAACAAACAAAACCACTAGTTTTCGGTTTTCTCATCGATTTTAGATTGGTTTTTTATTTGAATTGATTCGATTTTAAATATGCATACCTGACACAAACACCTTCATTTCCACCATCGTTGTTGTCACTACCATCATTATTATCGCTATTATTGTCATACCATCATTTGGCTTTTAGCTTTTCTCTTGCATTTCTACAAGGTATCAAGAGTTTTGGTTCTCGAGTGCCATTAGATTTTTTTCCTCCCATGTTAGGATGTAGAAGACCAATATGGCTTATCCTATTCTTTTTATTTTTAATGGATTTAATTGACAGATCCACATTGTGAGTAGTGGAGGCACTTGCCCCACTACTATTTTACACATACATATTTTTTATTTAAAAATAATATATTTAAAAAAAATTATATTTTAATAAAATATATATATATATATTTAAATTATCATATGTATAAAATATAGATTTAGAAAAGAGATTCATTTATTTGATATTTGTCAAACTTTTGAAGGATATTAATACTCTTATGTGATAAATAATACTTCTTAATAACGAATCAATTTTCTTAAAAAGTCTAATTATAATATATATATATATATATATATCTTAATACTCACATATATAATATAATAAATTAAAAAAAATCAATTTTTGATAAGATAAAATTTACAGTATGCATGTTTACCTTTTGCGTTTTCTAGTTATTGTATATGTTGATTAAAAAAATCAAAATAAGAAAAATCGAAAGATTTATGTTCCATTTAGAATTGTTATTATAAAATATTTTAAAATAAATTATCATCTAAAAATATATATTAGATATTAAAAATATGTTTATATCATATATAAATAAATTAAACTTGATTTTTATAAAATTTAACATATTTATTTTATATTTTTAATGATGTTAAATTATTATAAAGTAGGTATTTAAGATTGTAGTTCTAACCAAATATTTAAAAAATGTCTATGATAGATAAATAAGTCATATTTAGGATATATAATTTTAAAGAAAGTTAGGTTCAAACCTATTAAATTATAATAAAATTTAGTCTAACCTAATTTATTTTCATCTTTACTTGTAATTGTAGATATAAAAATTTGTAAAAAATAATTATGATATATATTTATGCTTTTAAAAGTTATATGTAAAATTTTTAATACTACAATTATATGAATAAGTATTACTTCCACTATCTAAAATTTCTGGATCCATCACTGAATCTAATTATATATGTTAGGTTGAGGCAAATCATTTTTTTAAATAATTTCTATGATAAAATAGTAATATTGTTTCACCACATGTTATAATATCATGATATTATTTTATCCACTTCAAATATAAAATAAGATAGCATGTACCATAATATCTAAGAAATATAATTATCTCGTGTACGTGTATTAAATATTGGATAACATAAACTTGTTATCTAATCCTTATATCCTGACGTTTTATGTTAAATATTATACGAGGTCTGAATGTTTTCAATAAGCATATACTAGATTATAAGGAATATTAAATATATCCTCTAAGTATTTTCTATTATTTATATAAAAAAAATGTATTATTAAATCGTTTTCAATTTTCTGATACAATAAATGTTTAGCTTTTCTATGCAGTTCAGCCGATGTATGTACTGTAACAAAATCTAACTCGTTAGAAACCAATTAAACCTTTTAAGTAAGAGTTTTCAATGGCACCAAACATTTCCGCATGTCTATAATTACACTCTACCAAACTACTAACACGGTAAGCGTTATTAATTGGTCACAACCGCTCTCATGAATTCCATAAATGCTTCCCAACAACACTGCTCTATTATAATAATCATCCAAACTCGCACACACACACACACATCAAGCCAATTCAATTTACAGTAACCATTTTTTTTCTTGAAAACAATGGCAGGTGAGGTAGGGGTGAAGAAGGAAGAGTCTCTGAACCTGAAAATCACTAACAAGAGCCATGTGAAGCCTGAGGAGAAGATTGGGAAGAAGGAGTACCAGTTGGTGACTTTTGATCTTCCCTATTTGGCCTTCTACTACAACCAGAAGCTCTTGTTTTACAAAGGGGAGGACTTTGAGGGCATGGTGCAGAAACTGAAAATTGGACTTGGTGTTGTGCTGAAGGAGTTTCACCAGCTAGCTGGTAAGCTAGGGACAGATGAAGAGGGGGTGTTCAGAGTGGAGTATGATGATGACATGCTTGGTGTGGAGGTTGTTGAAGCTGTTGCTGATGAGATTGGTGTGGATGATCTCACTGTGGCTGAAAGTACCAGCAATTTGAAGGAGCTTATACCCTATAGTGGTATCTTGAATTTGGAAGGCATGCATAGACCCTTGCTTGCAGTTCAGGTAATTTTGTTTGTTCTAATTTGATTGTTTATTGGTTTAGTTTTTTGTTCTTAATATCTGATATATATAAAGTATTCTCTAACTTAATTTATGAAATCATGATTCTCTGCCAGAAAATCTAAGGGGCCACTTTTAATAGAATACACTACTTTTAGTAGAGTATTTTTTCTATTTACATTTTATTTTATATTAACAAAATTTGAATTGAAAAAATTTCTTAAAAGACCATTCAAAGTATGGGTTGATTTAGTTTTTATGTTCTTGTTTTTATCATTATTTACAAGAAAAATTACATAAAACATTAATGAAAATTAAATATATATAGTTCCCCATACATCTAGCAAGCGATGGGTTTTATGTGTTTAGTTAGCTTTTGAAATGTGGCCTACGAGAGTCAATTCAACATTCACCTTCAACTTTTGTTGAGAATGCATAATGATAACAACCAGTCATAAAAGTGGGGTTGGATAGAGCAATGAGTAGAGAGAAAGTTGTACTAATTAATTTGAAACAGATATAATTTAAAACAGATTTTGGACGGCCTAATCATGCATGCACCCCATTTTCCATAAAATTAGTAGTGATTTGCTATGTTTACTTTTGACCCTTATTTATTTATTTTTTCTCCAAATTTGTCAAGAAAGGAAGAAGATTACTAAATGGAACATTTGGGTTGATGTCATCAAAACACTTTTTTGTTCTTCTTTTCTATTTTGAAATTGAAATCAGATCCAAGGTGTTGGGTGAATGGATAGGGCAAATGAGCCCACCACCCCCATATAAACGATTTCTATAAAAGGTTAGTAAGTAGTAATTTTCATGATAAATTCGATTACTTTTTCTGGTTTTAGCAAAAGAATATATAGGTAAACATCACATCACTACTACGAATTTGTGTGTCGTTTTGATGACGGTGAATAACTATTTAACGGTTGAGGATTAAATTTCGGTCCAGTAATAATGCATATGACACCATTCAATTGGTAAATCATTAAATTAGTTTAATCATAATAATGTTATTTTTGAAAAACTAAACTCTATTTATAGCATAGCAATACATGGTTTGGTGATAGTATAAAATCTTTATATTAAGATTTAACTCAACTATAATTATGTTCATCTGAGTAGGTGTGGCTCAGATGAAAAACAATAATAACAAAATAATGAAAATAAAGTTTATGCCAACTTTATCTTTGCATGTGATATTATTGTTGTCCTAATAAATATGCTACTGTTACACTCTGTTACAAGACCAATATATATATATATATATATAAGTTCTGAAGTCTAAAAAGGTCTCTGTATAAAGGGTCAGCTTTGTCTGTCAAGTTGATGATTCTGACTCGTTAATTAGCTAATGCGACTCTCAATTCCTGTCCCCACTCATTTTCCACCTTTCATTATATATTTGATTTAATGTTTATATACAAAATACTTAGAACTGTGTAGGTTGTGCACACTAATAAAATTTTTAAAGCAAATAAGGAAATTTAATTTGAAAATGCCATTGCTTTAGAGTTTCAAATCTAAAATCAATTTTACAGGGAAATAAGCAATTTTTTTTATAAGACCACATGCGTAGTACTAGTGGTTACTTGTCAATTTATTTGATCATGGAGTGTGTTAAATTGCTGGTGGCCACCACTTTGTGCCATTATGGTGCACCCCCACTTATCACCTAGCAAATCTTATCTCTATATATATATATATGAATTTTTATTTTTTTATTATTTTCAATTTTAATGTTTTCTCACTCCATTTGCAATTTCTTCTTTGCCCACAGTTAACGAAGCTGAAAGATGGGCTTGCAATGGGCCTAGCGTTCAACCACGCTGTCTTGGATGGGACATCCACGTGGCAGTTCATGACCTCATGGGCCGAGATCTGCAGCGGCGCACCCTCCACAACAGCCCCACCCTTCCTGGACCGGACCAAGGCCCGGAACACGCGCGTGAAGCTGGACCTCTCGCTTCCCGAGCCCAACGGCCCACCCACTTCCAACGGCGAGGCAAAGCCCACGCCAGTACTAAGGGAAAAGATCTTCAAATTCTCCGAGTCCGCAATCGACAAGATCAAGTCAACGGTCAACGAGAACCCTCCATCGGACGGTTCTAAACCATTCTCAACATTCCAAGCTCTTTCCTCCCACGTGTGGCGCCATGTAAGCCATGCACGTAACCTGAAGCCGGAGGACTACACCGTGTTCACCGTCTTTGCCGACTGCCGGAAGCGGGTCGACCCGCCGATGCCAGAGACCTATTTTGGAAACCTAATCCAAGCTATATTTACCGTGACGGCGGTTGGACTGTTGTCAGCCCATCCGCCGCAGTTTGGGGCTTCATTGGTCCAGAAGGCCATTGAAGCCCACAATGCTAAGGCTATTGACGAACGTAACAAAGAATGGGAAAGTGCACCCAAGATTTTTGAATTCAAAGATGCTGGGGTGAATTGTGTGGCTGTGGGAAGTTCCCCTAGGTTTAAGGTCTATGACATTGATTTTGGGTGGGGGAAGCCCGAAATTGTGAGGAGTGGGACCAATAACAAGTTTGATGGGATGATTTATTTGTACCCGGGGAAGAGTGGAGGGAGGAGCATTGATGTGGAACTAACCTTGGAGCCTGAGGCTATGGGGAGGTTGGAGCAAGATAAGGGTTTTCTTTTGGAAGCATAAAGTTGCTAGAGTAATGCATGCAATAAAAAAAAAAGTTTGGCTAGAAAAGACCCTTGAGCAAATTTGCAAGTAGTACTACTTAGATTGTTAAAGGGGTCGACTTTAATTTCCACTTATGAATTCTCATGTGATTCATGGATGTTATTTAATTTAATGTTGTGTTGTTTTAGAATTTTATATATATTTTGAACCTACTAATGTTTGTCCAACTGGATGGTCCGTGATTGTGTAGTTTCTCCATGACAAGGTACAATTGTGACTTTATTAATAGCAACAAGTTATATAAACAAAGAAAAAGAAAATTATGTGGTCTTATATACAAGGTTAACGATATGTAATACAAAAAGTATTGGTCATAAACTAATTAATGCCAAGAGGAAAATATCAAAAGAGAAGCAATTTTGTTATTTTAACGATAAATGCATGTAAGATGTCAATATATAAGGCATACAGATATGATCAATTCATATTGAGTGGTTCAAAAAAATTTATGAGAAAGAGAAAATAAAATCACTTCACCCCTTAATTGTCTATCAAGCAAAAACTAGACAGGTCACTTAAATGGGAGAGAAAGAAGGTGGATTAGATGTGTTTCTTCAATTGAGGCAAGGATATTGAATTGGAGAATTAATTGGTGAATGTATGCCTAGATATTGGGACAATATGGAGGGACAATGGTTTTATACATTTGTAAAACCTGGTAGGTAAGCAATAATGGGACACATATTTCACAGATAGAGTGACAGTTCAAGACAACTATTGTGATTAATGTACGCACATGTACAGTTCTAGGGTCTTTTCTTGTCAAGGGAGATATTCTAGATTAAGTGTAACCAAATTTGGTGTCTGCAGTTGCTTTTTCCAAAGTGATAATAGATCTACTCTTTCCTTGTTTTTTTCTTTCAACTTCATTTGACTAAATGTGTGAACAATATCGTTAGTACAACAGAGAAAATATATCTAAAGTTCGTTCAGTTTATAAACCACAAATCTTATATATATAATTGCGACTGTGATACAATTAACTTAGAAATATCATTAAAAAAAGTTAATTATTAAATTACTACATTGCTTCAAGGAAAAATCTTTTGACAAAAGATATATTGTGATTTTTTAATAGACTTTAGGATAATTAGAATTTTGTTGGCCCAAGTACGTTTGACTTAGAAATCTCATGAGTGTTTCGCTAGAATAAATTTATATTGATCAAGATCTCCTAGATTTCAAATTTAATGGCTAAGCAGAACTAATTGAAACTTAGTAGAAGATCGATGGAAACATCGAAGCCAAGTAGAATGGGCCATGTGGGGCGTGTTTTAGGCCTAGTGAGAAAAAGAAATTTGGTTGGGCAAAGTTTTTTATTAGGCCTTGGCCCTTGGTGGACTATAAACATAGGTAAATTAAAAATCTACGTATATGGCATAAATCTAATATTAGTATAATTTGAATTTTCTAATTTTCTAGATGAATGAGACTTGTATGGCTATGGTTCTCTTTTTAGACAAGAGGCACAAGAAATAGGAATAATCTAGTGCTAATTAATGAATCATTTCCTAATACTAGGCAGCAAAAAAAAAATATATTGGCCAAGCTTTATCCTTAAACCAAACGCAACTTGTTATTTAGGCAAACTTCTTGATCAGTTCCTTTGCATGAATAAGAAAATATGTTTGAATGGTGGTTTTCATTTTTAAACCGGGAAACGAAGATCCCATTTCGAAAGGGATATGTCTATTTTCCTGTTTTCATTTTCAATGTTTGTTTAAGATTTAGAAAATAATTTTTATAGAAATATTTTTTAAATGAAGGCGAAATAAAAAAAAAAGAAGATATTTTTAATATTTTTAACAAAATAATAACATAATGATATAAATCGTATTTATAAAGTAGTTGTTCTATAATAATAATAGTGATAATAACAATAGTGATAACGAAAATAATAGTAATATAGATATGATAAGGATGTCACCACTACTATTATTATCACTATTTTTATTATTGTCGTTGTGACTTTTGTGATAAAAAATAATCAAACATATCATACATAATAATTATACATAAAAATTACAACATGTTTACGTGATAATATATAATTGAAAATATCATATTTCTATTGGAACGTGAAACAAGAAAGAGAGAGAATACGTAAATATGAAGAGAGAGGATATTACGTGAACGTGCAGAGAGAGAAAATTACGTTTGCATGTGTATTACTTTATTATACAAATGGGTTTATTTATATGATCTGAATTACATTTCAGCATTCCCTCTTAATTCAGATTTTCTCAACATCACGAACTTTCAACTTATCTCTTAAAACTCGAAACCTTTCTCCTTTCGTAGCTTTAGTGAACACGTCTGCCACTTGATCCTGAGTGTTGCAGTACACAAGCTCCAACTTCCCTTCATTCACTTTGTCTCTCAAGTAATGGAACTTGGTTTCAATATGCTTACTTCTTCCGTGAGTCACCGGGTTCTTTGACAGGCTTATCGCTGACTTGTTGTCGATGAACAACTTCACTCCTTCATCACGCTACTGCTTCAACTCAATTAGCAGTTTGTCTAACCATGTAGCCTGACATGCACACATGGCAGCAGCTATATACTCGCTTCGCAAGTGGACAAAGCCACCACGGATTCTTTCTTCGAGCTCCACGAGATAGGCCCTCCTTCAATAAAGAATACAAAACCAGTTGTACTCCTACGATCATCCTTGTCTGCCCCCCAGTTCGCATCCGTGAACCCAGCAACCTCAATTTCGTCAGTCGTGGTGTTGTTTTGTGGGAACAAGATACCACTTGACATGGTTCCTTTGATGTACCTGAGGATCCGTTTAGCAGCAAGAAATGAGATGCCCTGGGATTCTGCATAAATCATTTATAACATGTTTAACACATGTTTGTAACTTCATCAACCTCACTTTTGTAGAGTGTAATTTTAGGATTATGTGGTACAAGAATAATTAAGATATTTAAGAAATATTATTAAACGGGTACCCGCGAGTATGAATATCATCATACCTGCCACTCACACCCAATGCTAGCAATACCATGCTCAATGTCAATGAGGTAAAAAACCTTTAACTCGTATCACACCCAACACCTTGAAGTTGCACCCAACATCATGATGAATTCTACACTTGGCAAACTCATGTGTTTGGCACAATTTGTACGTGAAACTTAGGAAAACCAACATGTGATGCTAGAGATAAACACTACACATAATAAGTAGTTCATTTCTCACCAAAATAACCACGTGCAACCAAGAATTGATCATCATTCACCCAAAATCTCCCTAATATATTCAAAACTCTCAACACCCCACAACACAAAAATTCAATCTCTTAATCATCAACACAATCACAGTTTGGATAAATTCAAACAACATTCAACTTCATCAATCAATAAAGAATTAGGTTCTAGCTTTCGTTAACTCTAACCACCGAGAAAAAAAAGGAAGAACGAAGAACAAGAAACTAAGCTCCAAGAAACTTCACATCCACCATTCAATTCTTAGCCTTTCAAACTTTGAATCTTAACACCACTCCTAAAATTGATCTCCAAGGAAGATCACAACACTCTAAAGAAGACTCGGGGAAAAAGATATTCTCTTAAGCTTTAAAACTCCTCTCTCTAACTTTCTTAAAAAACTGAACTTATGAAGTCTACTAAGAAAGACCTTGTATAACTTCCCTCAACAAGTCAAACTAATCTTTATTCAAAGAAACTCTTGAATAACTAAAATTCATGAGAATTTTTAAATTCTCAAAATTTCTCAACAATTTAATCAATTAAACATTACATCAGCACAACATATAATTTAATAAAATCAACAATTATTAATAATGCATAATGTTAGGGATGGCAATGGGGCCCCATGGGGGCGCGTAATAATAAACCTGCCCCCGCCCCGCTAGATGAAAATTGGCCTATACCCATCCTATATCTGTGCGGGTATCCATTAAGCGAGTATCCATGAATTTCTTGAATACCCACGGATATCCACGGATATCCATGGATATTTATAAATTTTTTTAAGAAATTAAAAAAACTATATTACAAATAATTTTAAGTTTATATTTAATGTCATTGAAATATTAAAAATAAAAATTCAATATTAATTTTGAACTTGTATTTAACGTTAATTTTGTTGAAATAATAATAAAAATGTAAGATAATTAATAACTTAAAATATATTCATCTCACAAGTAAGATAAAGTTTCATCACAAAGCAACAATAATTCAATCACATAATTTCAAACGAAAGTAAACAACTTAAAATACATAAATTTTATTGGTCCAATCAAAGCTAGAAAATTAATTAAATTACATCCAACATAATTTTATAACATGTTTAACACATGTTTGTAACTTCATCAACCTCACTTTTGTAGAGTGTAATTTTAGGATTATGTGGTACAAGAATAATTAAGATATTTAAGAAATATTATTAAACGGGTACCCGCGAGTATGAATATCATCATACCTGCCCCCGCCCCGTTTATAAACGGGTAAAAAATTATTCGTCCTCATTATCTGCGGGTACCCAATTAACCTATCCATTTATTATCCATAGCGGATTTTATCCACAGATACTCGCGAGTGCGAGTATTTTTGCCATCCCTACATAATGTTATACCAAAGACATATTATTTTAGGAGAGTAATAAAGGAATTAAAATAGAGAAAGACTCACTGTTACAAAAATTAAAATTAGTAATGAAATTAATATTTATATTTTATGTCTGAAAAATTCATCACTAAAATTTAATCATTCCATAATGATGCACCATAATTTATTTTATAACTAAAATAATTATGAATTGACGTATTTAGATGTAAAATGTTACATTCAACCATGATTTTACGTATAAGTTAAAAATTAAATTTTTTATCTTTAATTAACAAACATAAATTTTGAAAAATTTGTACTAGCAACTTTTAAAATCATATCATATTATTTGAAGTAATTAATTAGTAATAGATTTATTCTTGTCATTATAATCTTTTTTTATCAATAAATGATTATATATTTTTAGATAAATTTAAACAATAAAACTCAATGGATCGAAGCTCATCCTTCATCGCATCAACCCATTTCCCGTTAAAAATGGCTTCTTCAAAGGTGACTGGTTCATTTTCATAGAATAGAGCAAAGTGAACAATATCTCCGTCTTCATTTACATCAACATCAGAAATCATTTCAAAACCTTGGAGTCTCCCTGGAATACGAGTATCCCTTTGAGATCTTCTAAGAGCATTGGACGTACATGCTCCTCCCGATTCTTCATTTTGATCTTCATTAGTTTCAGCATCCACGGACTCAATTATTACCTGACTATATTGTTCATCCTTGCTTGACTCCGAGTTCCATCCCTTTGACTCATCAAACATCACGTCCCTACTCACCACAATTTGCTTGCTAATGGGATTGGGCAGCTTGTATCCACCTGTTGGATGATATCCCAGCAGTATCATCTTCTCACCTTTGTCGTCTAGCTTTCTTCTCAATTGTTCAGGTACATGTTTGTAACACATTGATCCAAACACTCTTAGGTGGCTCATGTCTGGCTTGTTGTTCGACCAAACCTCTTCTGGAGTAACTCCTTCCAGCCTCTTCGAAGGACATCTTTTTAGGATGTAAGCAGCGGTTGACGCAGCCTCCCCCCATAAATACTTAGGCAAATGTTTTGCTTTTAACATGCTACGTACCATGTTCATGATGGTTTGGTTCTTTCTTTCAGCAGTTCCATTGTGTTGCGGTGTGTATGGAGGCGTGACTTGATGCTCGATTCCTTCCTTTTCACAAAACCTCTCAAATTCTCTGGATGTATATTCACCTCCACCGTCGGTCCTCAATACTTTGATCAACTGGCCACTACTTCGTTCCAGCATGGCTTTGAATTTTTGAAACACTTCTAACACTTCACTCTTTCTTTTGATCAAGTATACCCATAGCTTTCTGGAGAAGTCGTCTATGAAAGAGATGAAATATCTATTACCTCCAAGGGACTCAGTTTGAATAGGACCGCAAACATCAGAGTAGATGACTTGTAGCCTTTCTTTAGTTTTGGATGAAACATGCTATTGAAAGGAGTTCCTCAGCTGTTTAGACTCCATGCAATCACTACACACTTCATTGGGTGGAGATATATGGGGTAAGCCTCGCACCATGTCTTTGGATTTCAGGTTCTGCAAGTCTCTGAAGTTGAGGTGTCCAAGACGGTAATGCCAAAGCCATTCCTCCTTCTTTACCGTAACCGCAAGACATTCTTGATCTACAACATCAATCTCTACTTTGAAGGTTCGGTTCTTCGTAAGGGGTGACTTCAATATCAGGTGATTTTGCTTATCGTACACCCTGAGCATCTTATTTTCCAATCTAGAGGTGTATCCTTTCTCCAGTAAGTAGCCTAGGCTTAACAGGTTGCTCTTCAATCCAGGGACGAATAAGACATCTATAATGAGAACTTGGTCGCCTTTCTTCTTCTTTACCGTGATCTTTCCAACCCCTTCTGCCATTAGAACGCGAGCATCTGCGAACTTCACCTTGCTTTTAATTAATTCGTCGAGGCTTGCGAACCAGTCTTTCCTTCTCGTCATGTGTGTTGAGCATCCCGTGTCAAGATACCAACTATTACCTTCTAGACCTTCTGCTTGGACAGTGGTTGCCATTAACAGAACTTTTTCTGAGTCGTTGTCCTCCTCATGAGCCATTTGGGCTTCGTCTCTTCTTGGATTATAGTGCTTGCAATACTTGGCAATATGACCCATCTTATTACAATTGTAACACTTTACCTTTTTTATGTCAGGATTACGTCCTTTCCCTTTTTGAGGTGCAGCTTTATGCTTGCTGTCTTGAATCTTGTTCGCGTCCTCACTATTCACTTCTTGCCTCGATTTTCCTTTGTTCTTGGGTTTCTTCTTGAACGTCGAATTTATGTTAGTCTGTGCCTGGAGAGCTTGCTCATTCTTTCACTCCTCTCCCCTTTCGATCAACCTTAGTTCGTGTGACTCCAAAGAGCCTTGAAGCTCATCAAGACTCATGTCTTCAAGGTTCTTTGACTCTTCTATTACCACTACTATGTGATCAAACTTCATGGGTAGTGTGCGTAGCACCTTCTCAATCACTTGTAGCTCAACCATCTTTTCTCCAAGGCCCTTCATCGTGTTCACCATCGTTTGAACACGAGTGATGTAGTTAACCACTGTCTCGTTGCTTTCCATTGATAGAAACTCGTATTGACGTTGCAGCGTTTGAAGCCTCACCTTCTTGGTCTTTGTTGCACCACCGTGAACCCTTTCAAGAATCTCCCAGGCCTCCTTGGATGTCTCTGCTTTCGAGATTTTTTAAAAATTTGTTGCATCAACGCTTTGATGCAAGATGTACAGGGCCTTGCAATCTTTCCTTTCGATCTCCTTATCTACAGCCTTTTGGGCTGCTGTTCCACCTGCACCAGCCAATTTGCAACCTTCTTCAACAAGGTTCCATACCCCTTGAAACCTCAAGATCACTCTTATCTGAATTTTCCAATTATCATAATTCTTCGTCGTGAGAATTGGCAGATTGGTGGGGATCGAAGTGAGTGAAGTAGCCATAAATTTCTATGGCAGTTGACCCTTCGAACCTGCGCTCTGGATACCAAATGTTGGAACGTGAAACAAGAAAGAGAAAAAATACGTAAACGTGAAGAGAGAAGATATTACGTGAACGTGTAGAGAGAGAAAATTACGTTTGCATGTGTATCACTTTATTATACAAATGGGTCTATTTATATGATCTAAATTACATTTCAACAATTTCAAGCCGAATTTCATAAAGTTATCGTCGAGATAAAAGAAATAATCATGAGTTAAGAATTTTCTGCCTATTTTCTAATAAATTAACTTTGATTCCATAAAGTTGTTCAATGAGTAAATCTCTAACAAATAATTCAACAACACAATCTACTATAACTTATATAACCAAAATTTCAATATCTATGGGATATAAAAAAATTGATCAACATAAGTTAAAAACTAGAAACACTTTGTATTAACAAATCACATTAACAGAAATATGTTGATGTGATATAATTATTATTAATTAATGTAATAGAGTTATTGATTATATATACAACAAAAAATTCACATAAATATGCTCACAATATGTGAGATTACAGTCATGTAAATTAAGTATATATAAAAAGTTGTTTAACAAAACAAATATAATATATCATGCATAATTTTAATTAAACATTTTTTAGAAATTTAAAATTAATTCCTTAACTGAATAAAAACCATCAACATAATAAGGAATTATATCAAAATTTCAAAGCCAATAATTTTTCTAATCTTTGACTAATATTTGAGAAGCTCCAATCATTAAAATATATATATAAATTTCAAAGCCAATAATTTTTCTAATCTTTGACTAATATTTGAGAAGCTCCAATCATTATATATACTATATATATATATATATATATATATAATATAGATAGATAGATTAACACTGCAATCGGTTTAATAAAAAACACATAAAATGCAACGGTTCAGACATTGGTTTTAAAAATAAAATAACACAGCGATAGCATGCATCACAACAGGCCCGATTTTGCATTATATGTTTTTTTTTTTTTACTACACAAACAAACAAGAGTGGATTTATATCCTCTATGGAAGGGGAACAAAAAAAAAACCTTCAATCAATCTCACATGAAAAGGGAAATAAAACACGTTTTCACAAAAAAAAAAAAAAAAAAAAGACTCCAAAATTATTTTCCACAAAATTATTTCAAATTAGTGAACCAGAAAAGGTATCTTTTTTTAGAATCTTGCAATCTATAAAAGTCCTTAACCTAATTTACGAAAAAATTATATCATATGAGAATATATATAATTGAAAATATCTTACTTTAGTTAATTAGAGTCACCTTAGAGAGAAAATAAATGAATATAATTTTAAAGCTTTTTATTTATTTTTTAAGAAATTGAGTCAAAGTCTATATTAACTTAATGGGATAGTTAATATATAACTCCTTAACAATAGATAGAAACTTTCGAACAAGCTACTCACAGTAAATGACCAACTCTATCATAGTCATTTTCATCATCAAACATGGCTACTATAATTTTACAAAAATTATAATTGACGCATAGTTGCTAATTAATTATATTTGAATAATATTATAATTATTATTTAATATTAATCTAATTTTAATTAAAATAATAATTAAAAAAATTTGTTAGTGTCTCTACCACTAACATCATCACCACAATGGTCATAACAAAGGTGATGTCATCGTTGTCACTATTATTAACTCTACTATTATCATTACCATTATTTTTGTCATCATTGTCATTGTCTTCATAACCACACTATTTTCATAAATGGTACATGGTGGCAACGATGATAATGGTGATAGTAATAACAATAGTGACAGTGGCAATGGTGTTGATCACATTGTCATTATCATCATCATTATGTAACCATTATTCTCACCACCATCATTATCAGTATTATTGTCACTACCACCATTATTACCATTACAATTAAGATATTTCAGTTTCATTATTTTTTGAAAATAAAAAATTAGTTCTCAAAATAAACATGTTTTTAATTTTTTTAATTTAAAAATGAAAACTATTTAAAAAATATATATAAATAGACCAAACAACCCCTAAAATGGTTATTTTCTCTGTTTTCAACTTACAAGTGGTGGCATTTTGAACAACAAAATGCAGTCCGTTTGGTACCGTCTCATTGTAAATCCCAAATTGACCAAACCACAAAGCCTGGCCCAAAAAATTCTGATCCCTTTCGGGCTTTCAGTTTTCAGATCCACATGTACTTCATAAAAAATTAATGGAGTGGAGACAAGTCATATTTCTTTATATTAAAAATTAAAATAAAATAAAAGAACTATAATTAAATAATAAAATAATAACAATTTTAGAATTTGAGTCATTACTAATGATTAATTTATTTGAGTGATAAGAATAAAAGTAATTACTAATATTTTTTTATTATTTTAAATTTTAGAAATAAAATCTTCATTGTGATTTTTTATCTTCCACAATTCATTGATTATATTGGTGGATTAGATAAAAAAAATGTAAGTTACATTTGACCTAATATTTTTTCAAACACATCTTAAATATGTGACTCTGTCAACCACGCCTTACACATCTAGATTTTCATTTTGTTTTTATTTTTTCTGGGCTTTTCTTCCACTGGGTTTTAGGCCCCATTTCTCTTGGGTGATGATAAATACACTTCCGTTTTCATAAAAACATATTTTTTTTTATAAAATATATAAAATCTTTAAATTATCCTTTTTTTTAAAATATATATATATAATTTATAAATTTGCACCTTGTACCCCTCTTTTTTCTTTTTCCTACACCCCTCTTTTTTTGTTTTTCCCGCACCCCGCACCCCTCTTCTTTTTCTTCCTCACACCTTTCTTCTTATTTATTTTTCCCGCACCCCGCACTCCTTTTCTTTCTCTTCCCCGCACCCTTCTTCTTTTTTCTTTTTCTTGCACCCGCACTCCTCTTATTTCTCTTCCCTGCAACCCTCTTCTTCTTTCTTTTTCCCGCACCGTGCACCCTTGTTCATTCTCTTCCCTACGCCCCTCTTTTTCTTTCTTTTTCTCGCACCCCCTTCTTCTTTCTTTTTCCCCCACCCTCTTTCTGAAATAATAAAGTTTTTGTTCTGAAAATTACTTTCCGGAATAATAAAGTTTTTATTCCAGAAAATACTTTCCATAATAGTAAATTCTTATTCTGGAAAGTATTTTCTAGAAAAGTTTTGTTACATAATTCCGGAAAGTATTTTCCAGAATACTAAAGTTACTATTTCGGAAAGTTCTTTCTGGAATTATATAAGAAACACACTTTCAGAAAATGCTTTTTGGAACAATAATTTTACTATTCCGGAAAGTACTTTCCGGAATGCTAAAATTAAAATTTGAATCTTATTTTCCAGTATGACAAATTTAACTTGCGTGTTTATTTATCTCCTCATCCACTACTGTTGTCTACGATCCTATTATCCATAAGTAATGTTAAATAAGTTAAAAAAAAATTATAAATATAAAAGGTAATTTAATATATTAATTTGTACCTTGTATTGAATGTAGAGAATAATGAAGATTGAATGAAAAATTAAGGTTTAAGAAATAATAGAGTAGAAAGTGAAAAATAGAATTTAAAAGATAGAAAGATAAAATATGATTATGTTGATTCTAAAAGAAGAAAAATCAAGAATAAAAAATAAAAAAAAAATAAAATCATTAAAAATGACTAGAGTGATGAAAAAGGAGAATGAGAAAAAGAAAAAGAAAGAAAAAGAAAAATGATGAAAAAAAAGGTGAATAAAAAATAAATTTAAAAATAGAACTTAAAATAAAAAATTTAATTAGAAAGATATTTTAGAAATTTTATTTAAAAAAAAAAGAAGAAAAAGAGATTGAAGGTATACTTATAAAAGATAGAAGGTGTATATATCATCGGCCTTTCTCTTTCTTCATTATCTTTTTGGTCTATTTGATATCCTATCATTTGAAGTTGTTATTTGCACCTCCTGCTTTTACCTATACACCTACTCATCTCTTTCATCTGCTCGGCCTCAAAATGCTCTTTCTTTTGTTAAGAGCATTTTTTCCATATATTGTTCTTTCACAAGCATCTATTTCATGCTAACAACAATTCAAGCACATTTTTATTAAATAAAAATTAATGGTTATTGGTTAACTTTCATATATATATATATTATATATATATATATA